CACAGCTCTTACTCCCAACCACTCATTTGCACCTCCACAGCTCTTACTCCCAACCACTCATTTGCACCTCCACAGCTCTTACTCCCAACCACTCATTTGCACCTGCACAGCTCTTACTCCCAACCACTCATTTGCACCTCCACAGCTCTTACTCCCAACCACTCATTTGCACCTCCACAGCTCTTACTCCCAACCACTCATTTGCACCTGCACAGCTCTTACTCCCAACCACTCATTTGCACCTCCACAGCTCTTACTCCCAACCACTCATTTGCACCTCCACAGCTCTTACTCCCAACCACTCATTTGCACCTGCACAGCTCTTACTCCCAACCACTCATTTGCACCTCCACAGCTCTTACTCCCAACCACTCATCTGCACCTGCACAGCTCTTACTCCCAACTACTCATTTGCACCTCCACAGCTCTTACTCCCAACCACTCATTTGCACCTCCACAGCTCTCACCCCAAACCAGTCACTGCCAACCTGAAATTTACCCCCACCTTTCTGCTTCTACCACCCACTTTTCACCCCTGCACCTTCACTGTCTCATTCCAAATCCTAACCCTCTAGAGCAGCGTCACAGGGGATTACGTGAGAGTAGTAAAGGAAACTTAAAACTAAAAGAGCAAAGCAGGTTGCACAACAGGATTTTCAAGTGACTCACCATATCTGTGAGAAGTTTCCAAAGAGGCTGGATAGAAAAAAAAAAATCACAGAATATCATCTATCCCTGATTGAATTGACCACTTCTAGTGATTAAAATGAAATTCAAGCAAAGTAATCGGTTGTCATATTCGTTTGTAATCACACATGAAAAGGAGACTTGGTATCAATTTGAAAAAGACAAAGCACCACAAAGACATTACTCCGCAACATTGCTTTGAATGGTCACACATTATGTGTTAATTAACTACTCTAACCTGTTTAGGCCACAAGTGAATTAAATGAAACCAATGAATAGCTGTCTCGCATTACCTTGCCTTCCATCTTTGCCCAGAGATCCCACAATGCATTGACAACAGCAGCCAATGCAAGATGGATAACACCTTTTTCTGGACCAAGCTTAAAACCAAAAAATAACAAGACAAGATCAAGAGGATTTCAAAGACATTAACAATTTGGGTGATTTAAGCATTATTTTGAAACAAACAACAAAGGGCCAGAAGAGGAGGTAAAAACTGTCATCTTTTTTTGGTGGGTTAGTTGGAATGGGACACTAAGTAACTGATGTTTGAATTTTTTGTAAAAGAGAAGAAGCATTTACTCTCAAAAGATTCCAATGAAAATATTATTCAATGAAGAGCAAAATTAAAAAAACCTTTCAGTTTATCTGAAATAAACTCACTCAGACAAGTATGTTATGGTCTCTTGCCACTGGTGTCTGAATAATAACTGTTAGCAAAAATTAACTGCATTGGAGCCACACTTCCTGTAGTCTCCTTCACAGCCATTGTTTGGTCTCGTCATGCAATGCACTCTCTCCTCCTGTTGTGTGATGAGATCAAACAATGGCCTGCTTTCAGGCTAAGAATGTGCTTTAAGTCTGCCATTCTTTTGTCTGAGACAAAATAAATATTATTCAGTTACAGATAGTTGCCTCAAAATTATTCTCCCATTTTGCAGTGTACATGTAAAGCAATCCGAAACTGCATTTTGTCACTAACAGCCTATAACCAAAGACATTTGATGATAAAAAAATTCCAATAAAATACTTCTTAAACCATCCAGATACATTTTTAAAAAATGATAAAAGCTTTTTTATCTTAATGGTTTTAGAAGTATTTTATCACAATTTTTTTTATTGTCAAATGTTTTTCTAAATTGCACCTCTGTCTTAAAAGAAACTAAAAAATTGAATGGTATTCACTTGGAAAATAGTTAAATAAGTACCACATATCTTTGTAATGACTTCTTACCCATCTAAACTGGCTTTCATGAGCCAGTTCACTCCAAACTGAAGCAAAGTTACCAAAGATTTCATCAGTTGTCCTACCAATGAGCATTTTTCCATATGTTTTTACAGCTTCCATTACTAATGAGCAATTGAAACACAATTTATCAAACAAGTATATTTAACAATTATTCCACGAGCGTGCGTTGGATATGAGATGATAGATAGCCAACGAGGTGCGTAGCACTGAGTTGACTATAATCATCTCATATCCAACAAGGGCGAGTGGAATAATTGTTTTATTAAAAAACGTTAAATTAAATTATTAAATTTTATTAAATTTTACTAAAATTTTAGCTCCCTTTTAATTTTAAGCTGACACGTACGCTTGCCATATTTGTAGATTATGGTATATTGGCTGATATACCATAATGGCTAAGCCAATAAAAAGTCTTGAATTGCATTATCCAATGATCTAGTTTTTAATCATTACTATTTTTACCTAATCACTACAGGGACGAGGACTTACAGTTAAGAAAATGATATACAATAAAGATTTGGAGGGGGAAAAGGATAATTAAGACAAATGTTTGCCCTTGTTTAATTTGAATGTATTGTTCGTAACAATAAAACCCAACAGTTACAGGAATGCTGTTGCAAATTTTTGTCTTATTGGTCACAAATAATTGGAACAATTTTCTGAACATAAATTAGGCTTTTAAAAAGTCAGAAAGGAAGATTTCAACAATATTCACATAAAATAAAGCTTTTTTGAACAATTAGTTTGCTGTAGTTGTTGTTGTATGCCTTTAACTTGCATATTAAATTTGCAGGCTTACTATTAATAGTTATTCTAGATGGAATGTTCTTTGTTTGTACTATAATTATATACAGTTTGAGCTTAAAATAGAATTATTCATAGCGTGTATGAATGTGAAAAAGTTAGACTGTTGAGTTGCTGAATAAACTTCACTCTTAAAAAGGAAAGCTTTTCTTGTCTGAAAACATCTTCATGTTTGAAGTAAGAAAAGCCCTGCATAAGGAAACAGTAGTCTATTGCATCACTATGAAGGATGTATACATGTATGGAAAAGGGCAGAAATAATCAGTGTTTGTAAAAGTGATTCAAGAAAGATAGGAAACAATAAATATATTAAGTAGGTTTGACAGTTGGTCTGTGTTATGAAAAACTGTGACCTAGGACTTTAAATTACATTTTCAAGACCTCAGTTACAATTTTTCATTGCATGACCAGCTAATCTCCTTTGCAGCCATTGTTTGGTTTTGTCTTGCATCATGCATTGATTCCCACCCACAAAAGAGAGCATGTTACTTGATGAGACCAAACAGTGGCTATGAGGGAACAACTAATTCATATATTAATATTACATAACCTGATAAAAATGTCAAACATTAGTCATGATTGCAGTAGACAGAAAATCTAAGTACCCAGACATCTCATTGTTTACTGATATTTCCTTTACTAAAGTGCTTCTTCTAAACTTAAATTTGAAAAATTTATTGCATCATTCATTAATGAAAAGGAAGAAGTTGACACATAAAGAGTCAAATGGAAGCAATATACATACCTAGTTCATTGCCTCGTCCCAAAGTGAAAGTAAGGCCATGCCCTTCAATGTTATCCACTCTATCCGTTTCAAAGACAATATAGGCTGCTGAGTAGTCTGGTGACTTGTGCTGTAAACATAACGTAAAAAGTCTGTTTACGAGCCTAGTGGCCCATCAGGCGGGTGCTTAACTCCGGTTTCTGTAGCATGAAGCGACTAGGAGTATTTCTACTCCCCCCTGGATGGGATGCCAGTCCATCGCAGGGTTACCCCCCAGCATTAAATTGCCGGTACCCATTTAAACACCTGGGTGAAGAGAGGCATTGTGAAAGTAAAGTGCCTTGCCTAAGAACAACACAATGTCCCAGCTGGGGCTCGAACCCAGACCACTCGATCCAGAGTCGAGCGCACTAACCATGAGGCCACCACTGTAAACATAATAGGTGATAATTGTGTACATGCAGAGTACTAATAATCATATATCTCATGGAACATTGATCCCTATTTCACAAATAACTTTACCGAATACTCATTAACTAAGTTCCCAGGAACACATGCACAAGGTTGAAAAATCATTTTTTCAGAATCTTTTGGCAATCAAACTACACCAAAAACAGGTTTTACCAGTGTTTGACTGGAAAACTGTAGTCTATAAAAGAATATGGTCGTTTTTATTTAACCTAATTACAGGAAAGTAGGCATAAAGACATTGATCCTTATTTCACAAATAACTAATTACCAAATACTCATTAAGTTCCCTGGAAAACTGTGATGCACAGGGTTGACAAATCCTTTTTTCAGAATTTTTTGACAATAAAACTACACTAAAAAAAGGTTTCACCAGTGTCTGACTGGAAAACTGTAGTCTATAAAAGAATAAGGTAGATTTTATTTAACCTCATCACAGGAATGAAGGCAAAAAGAAACCACTGCAGAGGGTCCCCTATACCTCTTTGCAAAACTCACTTTTGTATCACAATCAAATACCAAAAACTCTTTCACACTCATGTGAAATTCCAGACAATCACATTGAATTAATAATTTGACTTTTTCTAGTCTTAGCAAGTCTTAGGCGACAGAAGATGAAGTTATGTCATATTCATATTGTATTTGTTTAAAGACTAAGGTGGTCTATAATATAAAATTTTTATGACTTTTATCGATCCTTATCAAGCCCATCCCCTGTCAAAACCCCGGTCACAACTTAACCAGAGCCATTCGAGAGCATAACGCGCATTTCCAAAACAAATTCATCACGCTTTACAAAATGGTTCACAAATCACATTTTCATGATTGACAAAGTGATGTGACATGGCTTCATAAAGCGCCTGATAATTCCTTTTGAAACTGGTGTTAGTCATGGGACTACTTCTCTTTTCCTTATTACTCTCTCTCTGCTGACCCCACCCTTTGTACCCCAGGCCGGACCAACGGAAAAGCTATGGGATAGGGCTGAGGTGGGAGAGATACGAAAAATAATTCGAAGGGTTCGGAAGCCCACTTCGTCGACATGCTTCGAGATACACTGATACAACGTAGGTTAATTAATCTACTCTCAGACGATTTGCTTTGAAGGTTTTCCTATAGTTCTCACCATAGCGTCTGAGCCATGAAGTTCCAGAGACGTTGGAAAGCGTATATCGCGGACAGAGAGTCCAGTCAGCTTCACCATCGTTGCAAAGTTGAGCTAACAATGATTAGTTACGGGTTCTCCCTGGTTGAAAATAAAAATGTCACGAGTTCATTTCTGTGGTCAAGTGCATCATTTTACATCATCGATGACCGAGTGGGATTGAAACGAGTTCAGACAAATACCGCTGACTTTTCGCGGGAAATTTTCAATATGGCGGATCAGGTCTCCATGAAAACTCAACTGGGGTTAAAAATTTGAATTATTCCAGTCCTGTTCTTTATCTTGTGTTGTTTTCAACTCACTAAGTTCCATTTTCAATCTTGGAACTACATCGTTTCTCCATGGTAACTCTAGTTTGGATAAAAGTGTGATCAAGATTGCCTGAGGGATCCGCAAGCTTGAGTCTTGACGCGATACTTTGTAATGGATTTCGACCAGACACAAGTAATAGACGATTTTGGTGTGGAGGAGGAAGTGAGTGAGGAAGAGAATAACGGTCGATCCAAGAAAATCGAGGTAAGTTGGAGATAGGCAGTTGAATAAACATGGTATTCCTCTAGCGCTATAATAACATGTATGTAGATTTCGTACTTTACTGAAGCACCCCTGTATGCGTGCCTTCTCATGCCTGATTCTCTTTGTAAATTTGTTTGCTTGTGTTTCTTTTGCATCGCCATCTGGACGACTCAGAGAATTGGCCAGTCATATTCTTTACGCAATTTGAATTGAAGGAAATCTCTCGCATGTATTTGTGCTCTTGTTTTGAAGGGAACGATTACTACCCCACTTTGTATTTATGTGTGTCGAGAAGGAAGGGAAGGTGGGAGAAGGATATTGAAGACATTAAAAAAAGCTTGTGTGTAGGGGTTGGGGAGGGTGAAGCAAGCAAATTAGAGAGTAAAAGCTAATTTCTTATCTTCAATTGGACCATGGATTTGACAATCTTTCATTAAGACTGGAACAAAAAGAGAGCTCGAAGAATTACGGTCTTTTCGTCCAAAAGTCTTTTTGTCCAAAAGTGTTTTCACTAAGTCTGTTTGTTTACTTGTTAAGTCTTTTCTTGAAGCAAACAAATAACTTTTAGAAGGCTAGATAAGGCTATAGAAAGAACTTGTTGCGAGCCATTCATGTAGTGATGTAACACTTCGTTGCCCTTTTACGCTCAATAGATGCTTAACAACAAGCCTAATCTTCCCATTTCTTTTGCGTGAAATAATTAAACGGTAAGCAAGTCTTTACTTTTGCCACTATTTAATAAAGTATATTGCATTACAACTTCATTCATTCTCTGTGTATTTATATCGTAAAATTCATGATGTTGAATTCGTAAACGAAGAGCGGTGACTAAAGGTATCGGTACCAAAATGGCAGCAGCTTGCAACAAGTTTTTTCTATAGCCTTATCTAGCTTTCTAAAAGTTATTTATTTGCTTTGAGAAAAGACTTTGCAAGTAAACGAAGAGACTTAGGTGAAAACTTACTGCCTCCCGGTTAGCTCAATGGATAGAGCACTGGACTGATGTGCGGGAGGTAGAGGGTTCGATCCTCAGCTGGACCAACACTTAAGGTCTTAAAATAACTGAGAAGAGTATGCTTCCTTTCTATAACATCAAGAAATGGTTTAGATATTCTAGTCTTTTTGGATAGGGATGAATAAATGGAGGTCCCGTCTCGTGTAGGGTTAGGGGTAGGAGACGTTAATTTCCCATGTGCGAGATTACTGTGTGATGGATGTCCTCCCCTGAGGTGGGATGGGTGGGTTGTTGTCTTGCATTTCATAAATGAGCTTCTGGCTCGGGCAATATGGGTAACCGTGCCCCATGTTAAGACATTAAACTTTGATTACTATTACGATTACTAAAACACTTTTGGACAAAAAGACTTGGACGAAAATACTTTTGGACAAAAAGACTTGGATGAAAAGACTGGACACCAGCTCAAAAGACATATGCAAAAACCATCAATTTAAAAGCCATCAATTTAAATTTCGCATGCCATATGTGAGTAAAGATGTTTTTAAATTTTGCTTCTTCCCAAGAACTATAACAGACTGGAACTGTCTCCCATCAACTTCCTTAGAGATTTTTAAACATAGGTTATCAGCCTTCTTGAATGATAGTTGTACATATATTTTTCGTTAATTTAATTTTTATTTTCGACATCGACATAATTGTATTTTATTCATTTACTTATTTTCTTTCGCCATTTATTTGCTTTATTTTTACGGTTGGTATGATATCTTGATGATTTTACCGACCTAATAACATGTAAATATAAATGTAAAAACTAGAGTGCAATTTTATCCCAGTTTGATCATTTCATTGACAGTATAGTTAACTTTGTTTTAGGTTGCACATCTTAAAGTTTTTTCTCAACAAGGTTTTAAAGAATCAGTCTTTCCAGTATTCAAAGGTTGGTGGTTCTTTTTCAGCATTTTTTTGCTTGTTTATTATTTAGCTAGTAAGCTTCCTATATTTATTTGTAGTGCAGCTATACTTTTTTTTATTTTTTATTTTTCACTTTTACACTCTTATTATTATCACTACTTTTTTTCTTGTTCGTTCTATTGTCTTGAAAGCTTCAGGGCTAACTGTTTTGTACACCTTTTTTTTAAAGGTGATAATTTTATAGGGAGAGATGGCAAGTGTAATATAACTATCCCTATAAAGGTGAGTGGTTTTCTAAATTTTAATCTCTGCACTGTTAACCAAGTAACACTATATCTGAACACCAGGAGAAGTCAAGACAAGTAGTAATAATAATAATAATAATAATAGTAATAATAATAATAATAATAATAATAATAATAATAATAATATAATAATATACGTTAATTGAGGCTCCCTCATAGGGGCTTTTCAGCCACAATTTAGTTTCAACTAAGTGCTTAAAAATCCCCACTGGCAGGAGGTGACCAGTGAGCTATTTACAGAGCGCAGCCGAGGAGTTGAACTAGGGGCAACCGAGAACAAATCCAGTGAGTGGCAGGGTGGAGGACTTGAACCCGGGCCACCGGATTTCTAGTCCAGCACCCTAACCACTGGGCCACGCCGCCTCCACGAGTAGTCTTTTGTTCTTCTCTTCCTCTGTGATACTGCAGTGTCTAGCTTAGTTTTGTTTGACATTCCCTTTCCATCTACTTCCTCTTGAGGCCTTGTCAAAGAAACATGCCTGTATTGAAGTGCAAAGAGATCTTCATCTTCTTTATGACTGTAAGAGTAAAAATAGGACAAGGAAAGGAAAGGTACTTTTAATTCTCATTGTTTTCTAATAAGTACTTTGGAATTTCATAATTGGTACGGAAGGTTGTTTGCTACAAAAGGGAAGCAGTTGTATCTTTGAGAATCAGCTTTGAATCAAATTTCATCTCCAGATAATTAATAAAATTATTTCTTTTTTGTTTTTTCACTTTTCTGCACAGAAATGCATTGATGTTATAGAGGGATTTTTGGCCACTCTCACAGTGGTTTCACTAATTTTTTCAGCAGGAGGGCAACTGGTTTTCACAAGCAGGCAAAACTTTTTTAACTTAACTTCTTTATAAGATAAACCTTCCTCCAGATTGTTAAAACCAGGTGGGCAAAACCGTCCTTACAACCGGTCAGTTTGGCCGGTGCCCGGCCCCCTTAATGAAACCCCTGCTCTCAGGTGTGAATGGAATTAGGTTACAGGAGACCATCCAGGACTATTTTTTTTACATAAAATTTCAATACTTTGGACCATTTTTCATAAATAAAAATAATTTCAATACTTTGATGTAACTTGTTTCAATTATTGTATAGCACATTGCCTACACGGAACTAAACAATTTATAACATAAGATTATTAAATATATTCAGGACAATTGTGTTAAATTTTAGTCTCTGCTAAAGCCCATGGTACGTTACGAGCTTAAACATGGTGATATGTTGACTTTTGGTGATGTGACTTGTCAGTACTTGGTAGGCATGGAAGAGGAAGAGGTAAGAGGGATGTGGAGGTGCATAATTATGATGTATATTGTGGGCCGAGGACTGTGATTCAATGTCCTCAGCGCTGGCACTCCATAGGACAAATGGAACTTGTCCTAAACTAAAGAGTGTAATGGTTTCGCTCAAGTTACATGTAGATATGAAAGCCTCGCTTCTGGGTTGTTATACGCACAGTCCAAAACACCAAGTTAATATAGGTTTACGATTCTTTCTTTAATTGTTCCTTCGTATTCTTATTCTTGTGGCCTCAGGGCACTTATCGAAGCAGTCAATTGAAACAATTACATTTAAGAAATCACCTAAATAATCATTTTCTTTATAGCTAAAGTGATCGTAGAGCTAAACACACATGATACCAAAAGGAACTTGAAAACAATCAAAATCTAGCGAAAACTATAATGTATGAATATGAACTCTCATAACAGTTAACATTATAACCTTAAACAAAGTAAATTGTTGCTTACCAATGTTTGCGGGTCTTAATTGATTTCCTAGAGGATTTCGCTCTAACTTGTTTTCTAGTTTCCAATAGATATTGATCTCAAGGGGTCTTTTAAAGTAGAACTGAAATGCGAGCTATGATCTATACTTATCTGTGATGCAGTAATCACAGCGGTGACGTAAGTCGAACCACAAAATATTTTGTGACATATTCCAATTCTAACGGAAGTGGTAACAAGGAGTATTGCTACTCCTTTCAGACTGGGTGGCAGTCCATTGCAGGCCACCCCTCGTCTTCCTTCAATTTACCCTTACAGTTTATGGTACCCATTTACATGCACCAGAACAGAGAACCATAGTGAGTTCACCATCTTGCAAAAAACACAACGTAATCTCTTGGCCAGTAAGTTCAAAGCAGGTCGGACCTTTTGATCTGGAGTCTTAGGTGTTGGTCACTGGAGCATGGGTTAATTACTATGTGTTCTGCATTGGTTTGATTTTTTATATCATTTTTGATGTTTGGTTTTGTAGGAAGATGGGGATGAAACTGGTTCTGAAACAGGTTCAGAATCCATGTTAATGGATGTGAATGTTGACGAAGAACTGAAGAAGACTGATAAGGTAATGATCAGGCTGAGCAGGTAATCAACAAAGGCTGGTAGTTTCTAAAGAAACTGTTTGGGGCTGTGTCGGTGGGGGTAATGAAATAATTTGGATAATTATATCAACAAAGTTGAAATGGTAAATTGGCCACCGTTACGCTTAAAAAAGCTGACGTTTCGAGTGTTAGCCCTTCGCTCCGACGAAGGGCTGACGCTCGAAACGTCAGCTTTTATAACCATAACGGTGGCCAATTTACCATTTCTACTTTGTTGATATATTCAAATTATCAGGTAATCAATAGTTTAGAAAGACAAAAACACACTCTGACTAGCTTTCCTTGCCCTTTCTGCATATAATTCACAACTTTCCCTGTAACTTGTCAAATGGGTGTTTCTCATGAATAGCAGTTTAATGTTTTACTGTATTAGGGAGTGGCCAAATCCTATTTGGTATGGTCATCCCCTCCCTGATGGCGTGCAACAATTTGCCAAGTCACTAATAATGAAATGGTGCATTTCCCTCTTAAATTAGTTCTACCCTTATTGTTCTTTCACTTAAAAGAATGGTACAAAGCCTGTAATTAAAATTAGATTGTAGGTTTTGTATCATCAAATGGTAAACCATGAGATTTTCATGTATGTAAAACAATTCAGACTAGAAAATTTTGATTGTATGTTTTGTGAAGTTTGAAAACTGATTCCCAACCCATCACGAAAGTTCAGGTTTTAATCTCGTCATTGAAAAGCATATTTTGTGGCTATTAATTTTTGACACACAAGTCTCCCCATAAGACTTTCTTTTCTTGTTTGATTAAAATCTAGAGCCAAGAAAGATTAAAAAATTAGAAGTGATCTCATTTTACATGAAATTGTCTAAATTGTTGCACCATGTTTGCAGTTCCCTGTCTGAAAGTTGCTTTTTATTTTTCTTGCTAACAGTCAATTGTAAGTGAGGATGTTAGTTTGTCAAGTACAATTGATGAGCATGTTAAAGGTGCTATCCCAAGGGAATCATTGTTGCAGGCAACACCAGGCCACAAAACAAAAAAACCATCCAAGGTAAAAGTGTGATGACGAACAAAGATACTTGATTTCCTTACTCTAAACTGGTTAGCTCAAATGAGCACTACAAACTGCATAATATCAAGCCAAGCTTTAATGATTGTTCAATCTAAATAATTGCATTATTTTATCATTCGCAATCAGAACAAAGGCAAATCAAGTCTTTATCTCGTAACTTAATTCAGAAACCTTCAATTTAAACTTACTTTTGAGGTGGGTTGGCACAACAGTCTTACTTTACAGGTTAGGAGATTCTTTTAACAGATTCTCTAGGTAAGTAGATTTATAGACTGACTAAGAATAACTTTTTTTTCACTTCGATTCTTCTGAAAAACTAGTTTGAAACAAAATAACCTAACACTTTTAAATCAGTGTATAGAATTAATGTCAATCATGATTCTTGTCATTAAATAAATCCATCAGGAAGAGGCAATGCCTCTTTGATAAACAAAACATACTGTTTTCATGAATATTAGCATCCTCTTTTCTAGGGATGCTTCTTTAATTGGTTCAATTAGTTCAGTTACAAGCACTCTATGTATATTTTATGGTTTAGGATGATGAAGATGCATATGCTGCAGACACAGATTCTGACACAGATGAGGAGCGACCTCTTGTGACAACAGCAGTGCCAACTATAATGTTTAGCTCTGAAGACGAAAAAGAGATACCAAATGATCAGAGGGCCTCAAGTGAGTTATTAAGTAAGTTAAAATCTGAAAAAAAAATTTGTCTAGATGGAGACATATTTTCATGCATCTTTCCAAAAATGTTAAATTATGTATTCAAATCCCTTTGACTAATTTGAAGACATAGTTTATTATAACCTGCTTCCTTTCAAGAAAGAAAAACTATTTGCAGTTCTGGCTCACTCTTGTTTTATTAATAGGTGTCCCAATTAAACAAGACACTAGCATGGAAGGGCAGACTCTAGCATTTGGACTTGGGAGCCCGACTAACGTGTTTCTGAGTAGGTAAGTTTCCCATGTTTTTTTTTTTAAGGAGATGGGAAGTTGACTAACTTCTGAACGATTATGAGCAAGATGCTCTCTTCCTTCCCTCTCAGCGATAACCTGTAACTTGGCATGCAAGAACAGATGCTCACAACTTGTGCATTGTAAAATCACATAGAAGTCTTTCATTGTTTATCTCTTGCTCTCATTGGTCTATTTAACTGAATATCTGATCAAAGAAAATACATGTAGTATGTATATCTTATTAGACGTTTTGTTGTGTAGTATCGCTGAGTATTTTTACGAGTTGTGCCGTATTTTGACGAGCCCATAGGGCGAGTCAAAATACAAATAACGAGTAAAAATACTCAGCGATACTACACAACGAAACGTCTAATAAGTTATTTATTATCCAACATGCCAATCTGTTATTTCAGTGCGGGCGAATCTCGCGGATGTTTATTTACGGGGAGTGCGTGACAGAAGTATGCGAAGCGGAACGGAATTGGCGCGTTGTTGTGCTGCTGTTTCTATTTTCTTCATTAAATGAAGAAATTTTCTGGTCGTCAAGCTGTTTTTCTTCGTTCAATTCATCTAATGAACTTGGATCTATACTTGCCAGCCATTCTGACTCTTCATCGTCGGAAATATGATTCAAATCGTCCGCCATTTGTTTTCTTTTCATAACTACAATCCAATTCTTCGCTTGTGTGATGCGAGAAAACCTGTTTAACCGGTACTACAATAGACGAGTACAAATACCGCGTGATATTTGTACTTGTCTATGGCGTTATGTGTACTCGTCTAGGTGTAGTTGGATAATAAACTGCTAAATTGTGAATGTTTTTTTTTTTTACTCCTAATTAAATGCCTTTCTGCTAACCTTCCCAGAGTAGATGAGGTTTTATGACTGCTTCTAATTACTGTTCATTTCTTAGAGATTCAACAGGATCTTCAGGATCTCACTCGGCTCAAACAGGAAGCATTCCACCAACTCTGAAGATTAGCTCTGAATCTGATTCGCTCTCAGATGTTAGCCCATTCAGGCATCCTGGAGCTAGGGGCTCTGTCACCCAACCACCATGTGGGCCTACACTGTTATATGGCTCTGAATCTGATGATGGGAGCCCAATTAAAAGACCAAGGCACCCAACAGTAAGGGTTGCAGACAAGGGCCCATCTTGTGAGCCAACACTTTTGTATGGTTCAGAATCAGATGGATCTCCAAAAAAGAAACCCAGACTACCAATGGCATCAAATGAACCGACTTTGTTGTATGAGTCTGACTCTGATGAAAGCAATGATAAGGCAGCCAAAAGATTGCGTGCATTGGGTGACAGCCATCAGGGAAATCAGGATCAAACATTGTTATACAGTGATATATCTGAAGGGAAACTGCCAAGTATTCCAGGAAAAAGTTCAGCAGATGGAGAGAACAAAGATAGCACTGATGGTTCGACAAAAGAAAGGCCAAACACCGAGGAAGAAATGGGGGTGGTTGAGGATACTGATGCTACGCTACCATACTGTAGAGCTGAAATGAGTTCAACTGATGATGAGGGTGAATCAGGTACGTGAACACATGCTGGGTAGAATATTGTGAATATTGTAGATAACTTGCAAATAAGCTAAGGGAACTTGGTAGGGATATGGTCAAGCAAAGCCTAGATGCAACAGGAGGCTAATTTTGCTTGTGGGCAACTTGTAAAACTTTGAATTTAGTAAAACAAGCCACCCCAAAGTTCTAAAACAACAGCTTTGTGGCATTCACTGATTCTTTCAAAGGGAATAGGATTAATTTGGTGTTTTATCTTAGACCTTCCAGCTGCTTTTTATCAGGATTACAAAATAAATTTCACCAGGCAGGATTCCCAAATAGAAGTATTTACCAAACTTATGACCATTGTGACATGTCAAAACAGATTATTTGCAGTACTGCCAAGTAAAGAATGTTGCTTTTGGGCCTTCGTCATTTTACCTTGAGTATTTAGCCACTCATGTCTTTAAGAATTGAAATTCAAACGTTTGTCAGGTCTCAGATACACACTGAGTTTGGAATTGAAATAATTAGGATGAAATTATCAGCTTACTGCAATTGATCTATTTTCAGAAGGTGTTAGAACTGCTAAGAGGACCAGTGTTGATGAAACACCAGCTCCTATACTGCGAACTTTGGCTTGCAACACAAAAGAAATAGAAGAGGATTTGACAGATGATGAACAACACAATAGAGATGCTGATGATTATGGAGCAGATGTTGCCACTCAAGCCTATGCTGTTCAAAGTGACTCTGAACTTGAAATTGAATCTGTTTCAACTAGGGATGAGGCAGTGGCAAGAGATCTGAACCAGGTGGCTAATCCTTCTGATCTTGAGGCAACACAAGCGTATTGCATAGAAGAAGGAGAGGATTCTGACAGTTCAGATTCACAGCCACTTCCAATTGGCATTGCTAAAACAGCAGCTACTGATGACATTCAAGCAACCTTAGCTTATGGCATTGGAGAACCAGAAAGGGTAAGTGATTCAGAGAGGGTTGATAACAATGACGGTGATCACAAGAGAGGTCAGGCACAAGCACTTGTGTATGATGACTTACAAGCCACCCTGGCATATGTGATTGGAGGTGGTGATGATGAAGAAGGTTGTACAGAGACAGATGGAGAGCAGCCTTCTGACCTTGATGCTGGGGTCAGCAGAGGTGATGATGTCCAAGCTACTACTGCATATGGGCTGGAAGCAACTCAAGCATATGGAGCTGAAGAAATCGACGAGGAGGAGACTGCTGTTAAGAACAGAGATGACATAGGTGGATATCAAGGTAGAGGTACTGGTCCTGACGCAAATGCAGCAACACTTGCATATGATTTTGGTTCAACTCAGCCTTATTGTGGGAATGACAATGGTGCAACTGAGGATGACAAGGGAGACAATGCTTTTGAAGAGCATATTACTAAAATGGAGAATCTTGCCACTTTAGCTTATGGGCTGGAAGAAACCCAAGCTTATGCTTTTGATAATAATGATTCAGGTACTTTGAGCGGATTTTTTTTTTTTTCAGTGTATACTTTGCCAGTTGATATGTTTTTTGGCCAAAGTTATCATTACTGAGTTCTATTTCTTGCTTCGTTTTTTGTTTTATACCAGAGTCATCTCACAATGACATGATTGAAGCTACCCAAGCATATGGTATTGATGGTCCATCTGCAGAGGAGACAGGGCCACTAGCACAGTTGTATGCAGCATCTACTGTTCAGGGTGGGGTGGGTACCTTGAACATTGTAGGTTGCTTAAATGTCTGAACTTTTGATCAGTTCATTCTATTGTGAACTGTTAGCCTAGGACATAATTGTGGCAGTTGAACACTCTTTTGAGTTTTTGTTTTCAGGTGACAGGCATAGATGAAAATAAAAATGGTGTATCAGCTGTTAGTGAAGGTTTGTACATGTACTTATCAATTGTTTATTTGGTGATGGCCTGCAATAAGTAGTAATAATTAGTAAAAAGGGGGTCCTGACATTCAATAAATACATAATAATTATATTAAATAATATCCATACACTAACCAGCACACAGGTAATGAGAATACTCAAACTTATCAGGTAGAAGTTATTATCCTGATCTAACACCAATTTCTCATAACTGGTTTACAAGGAAATGTGTAGCAGCTAGAGGAGAGAATTAACAACCAGATCATGGGAGTTACAGGGTTTTAATCCACTTCCCTCTTATCTACCTGCCCCCCCTCACCATGTACCCATCACCTCATCTTTCCCATTCATCTCATTTCCATCCACCAATTGGCTCTCCCAGTTACCGACATCTTACTTATCCTCTCATATTTTCACTCTAACCACATTTTCACTTACAAACCTTTCTCAATCCATTGTCAGTATTCCACTATGTACTTGCAATGTATCCATTCATCTTGTTTCCCACAAACCAGATCAATAATATTTCCCTGTATATTTATTGAGACTGTAAAGAGAGGCCTAAGAGTTATTTCTTGTTTCTCTAGTGGATATAAGTAAACCTTCCTCAAGCTCTGCTGTTGATGTAGTGGATGACTCTCAAGACCGTGAAGATGTAATGCCACGGCGATCACGTTCTACAAGGGGAAGGAAAAAGCCAGTTATTGAAGACTCTCAAGAAGTGAGTGAATAGGTGACTGACTCAGACAGAATAAATTTATTTTGTATGAGTGGTTGATACCTCTTACACAAGTTGCTCTATTCTCAATAGTTATTAAGTGCTTGACACTTTAAGCAATAAGGTTGCATGATTAGTTATCGGTCACACTTATAAATGGATAATGCTGTTACTTTGGACAATGCGGTGGCAGTGGTAATAATATAAATAATAATAAACTTTATTTACCCTGCAAAAAATGTGTCAGCAATTCCATAAGGAACTGCTGGTATTAATACATGTGCAGCAAATATAAAACTATTAATTAAAAATGGAAAATTATATATACATATATATAAATATAATATTATACATACATATATACGATATAACTATGTTAAAACTATGTTAAAAAAAAAGAAAAAAGAATAACAAATTGGATACTATTGAACAGAACAATGATGATCACGCTTATCACATTGTAATAAAAAATCATAATTATTTGATTTGAATAAATTAAAGTCACTAATTTTCCTAAGGTGTAGAGGAAGGCTGTTCCAGTCCTTTGCAGCAGAAAACTTGAAAGTACTTTGTCCAATTGCGGTTTTTTTCGTGTGGAAGATTTAATAGGTGTTCATCTCTCATTGTTCTTGTTCGAAGGCTTGAGCGTTTTGGCGAATAAGAAACCAAATGTTCGGGACATTTGTAGTTGTACACAATTTTAAAAATAAGTTGAAAGTGAAGAAATCGCCTACGGTTTCTTAACGACAGTATACCACACGTCTCGCGCATCACTTGGGAACAAATTCTTCTCTCTGCCTTAAGTATTGTATGAAGAGCTTGATTCTGTAGTCTTTAGTACGGTTGAGGTCACCCTGTTGTGTTCTGTGGTGCATAACTCAAGGACTGCCCATCCCCACCCAGGAGAATTAATTGGTGCCAACAAATTGTTGGGGAGACATGAAAAAATACTAGAGGAACAAATTACAAGTGACTACTCTAGGATGCTTAATGCTAAGAAATCCAGATTGTTCTATTCCACTAGCCAAGGGTGGTAAGACTTGACCTCAATCCTATTCTGTTACTGTACAGTGAGTTTGTCATGCAAGAAAGTATGCTAAAAGCTTTATGGATTTACTTTTTGCTAATTGTAAAATATATTTCATTATTTTATCTGACCAGGTGGGATCAGCTGAAAATTATGCAGTGTCTGTGGTAGAAATATCAAATAATGACAAAAGAGAGGAAACTAAAGTGGAAAGTACACCAGGCAGTATTTTAAATAGAAATGGTAAAAATTCTCGAGTGACTCTTTCCAGCAGAAAGGGAAGAAGAGGGGCAATGAGGGTAACAATTGACTCTGGAATGCCAGATGAGGATGAAGGTAAAGAAACATTGTCAAGAGGAGGACAGAGTGGAACAAAGGAGACAAATGCATCTGAGAGTCAAGACAAAGAGACTTCTAAAGTGCCAGCTTCAACAGGGAGAAAAAGAAGAAGACAAGCTGGGAAAGGAAAATTTATTGAAGAGATGGAAGGAACAACCATAAGAAAATCAAGAAGAGGACAAAAAGGAAAGGGAGCACAAATGGAAGCCACATTTCTGCCAGAAACACCTCCTATGCCAGTAAGCTTTGCTTCTTCAGATCATTTGAAAGCCACCACATTCTCTATTATGGGCACCTCCTATTTTACTTTTAAGTTAGTTTTGCCAGTTTTAATGGCAATCGATCATGTGTTAATAATATTTTTCTCACGATAATAGAAAAAGTTGACCATTTTATGTTGGTAAGACTACCTCACCCTAAATTAACATTACAAAATTTGAAGTCCACAGACACTACTGCTAAAGAGATAAGAGAGAGTCCACCAGATTCATCAGCTGAAGCTGTTCCAACAAGAGGAAAAGGGAAAGGAAGAGGAAAGGGAAGAGGAAGGAAAAATGAACAGTTGGTGGAGGAATCAGTGGTATGAACTCATTGCATCAACATGTTCTAATCAATGCTTGTCCCTCATCAATGTAAAATTTGAAATCATTGGAAAAAGGAATCAAGGTGTCAATACAAAAATGTTTAAAGACCTCTTAAAAGTCACTGTGAAGTGAAACACAAAAGCTGGCTACTTACATAGCTAATTGTGTTACTTGGAAGTCTAGGTGAAATGTTTGTTTATGGACAACTTGAAGGTACTTAAATTCTTTGGAGTTTGTTGTTAACAAAGTGAATGTTGGAGGCTTCTTAAAGAAATTTTGTAACCAACTTTGTTGCAAATTTTGAAATGTTTTAATTTGGTTCTTTTTCTTTTTATGGTAAACTAATGATGAAAGGTAATTGAAATGTATAACCCATCTAAAATGTAGTTAAAAAATCACTAAATAAATTCAATATTGTATTTTGAATTCACTGGATGTTAGGCAAGGGAATCCATTGGTTCAGAGATATCTACCATCTCTAATGAACCAGAGCCCCCAGAAACTGTGAGTACACCTGCCAGAGGGAAGGGTCGAGGCAAAGGCAGAGGAATCAAAGCTCAGCCAAAGATAGGCATGGATCATGAATTAGAAGCATCTGCAAGTACTTCTCCACAAAAAGTAAGTTTTCTGTGACCTATATAAGCTTTAAGAGAATCCATGTTAACTTTTACATTTGATTTAGGAAATTACTAATTCTGTATATTTTGAATTCACTGGTTGTTAGACAAGTGAATCCATTGGTTCAGAGATATCTACCATCTCTAGTGAACCAGAGCCCCCAGAAACTGTAAGTACACCTGCCAGAGGGAAGGGTCGAGGCAAAGGCAGAGGAATCAAAGCTCAGCCAAAGATAGGCATGGATCATGAATCAGGAGCATCTGCAAATACTTCTCCACAAACAGTAAGTTTTCTATGACCTATCTAAGCTTTAAGCAAATCTATGTTAATGTTTACATTAGGTCTAATTAGGAGATCTTTGTTAAAAATACTGTTTTTTGAGCAATACCGTCTTGTTATTTGGTACAGCCTCTTTTAATTTTCAAATACATTTTAGTGTAGAACCAATGTTATCCAGTTTGATGGAAGACCTGTACAAAGCTCTGGTCATTTTATCCAACCTGATTATTTCAACTAAATTTTCAAGTAAACACACAGTTCATGAACCACAATCAAAGTTGTTTATATGTATATATTTTTTAATTGTAACATTCAGGAGACCCCCACTGTTAATGTCAATGAGTTGCAGCCATCAGAATCACCTGCCAGTGTCTCAACTTCAAAAAGAAAGAGTAGAGGCAGGAAGAGAATACAACCTACAGCAGCTGAATCAGAGGCAAGTAATGAAAATGCAATTTCAAGAACTTTGACTAAGACATAATTATTGATAAATAGTATGGATTATTAGTATATACACACTCAGTGATCTTGGCGTTTCAAGCAATCTGGTTGGTTCGCTATCTCGGGGTAATCAACAATGTACACCTCTGAGCGAGTGGATGATGTGAAAAACAAAATAGCGGGCATAAACTCACGTTTCGCTTTAAGTTTCAGAAGCAGAAATTGCCTTTAAATGGCTTCCTTTTAATTTTGTCGAGATCACTTCATGTGTATATACTAAAACAATTATTCTTTTCAATCTCAGTAAATATTGGCTTTCGGGAATATTTACCTCACCACTTTGTGGCTCAGTAAATGTTTATCCACTATTCACCTCAATTTCAATGAAATAATAATTGTTAATTATCCTCCCTAAGTCCCCCCATGCACCTCAATGACAAGAAAACCAACCAGTGAGTCTGTTTGGGCATCTTTAATGTTCAACAAACCAAGAGGCCCTGAGGACTGGAGAGAACCCCGTAGGGCAAGAGGGAGGGAAACCAAACAACTACTCCACCAATGGAAAAAGACAAGCGGTTGAATTGCAACAGTTGCAGGGGGTCCTTGTGGATAATCAGATTATTCCTGAGGAATATGAATCATGCAGCCTATGGATAGCCTTGGTCCTTTTATTATTTGATTCCTGATTGGTATATTGGTGGATAGTCAGCTAGTATCAGGCTAAAAGGAGACTGTTGCTCCAGTAATGTTGAGATGGCAGCCAACATGGTTGGTTGAATGTTTATCCAAATTTTTATCAACCGTCAGTGGTCAATTATGTTCAAACAGTTGATCTACCATCCCGTGGCTGTTGATTGGCTATTAACCAGTATATCAACTGGCATCCAACCCAGTATCCAACTGATTTTGTTAATTGTTTTGAAGTGCTATATTGTATAATTATTGTGCTTGCAAACAAGATGTGGTTGTCATGTTTGTGAATTTTTGTTTTCCAGGCTTTGGTGTCATCAGAAGGTACAGAATATTCTGAGACTATTGCAGACTCAGAGGAAAGCTCAACAGCTGGAAGCAGTCAGCAAAGTTGCAGAGTGAGACCAAGGAAGCAACAACCAGAGGACTCTGAGTCAGTGGTTAGTACAATGTATACGCGTACTTGAGATAATCAAAACTGTAACAAAATTCTCAATTGTGATTGGTCATCACCAGCCCAATTTGAGCACTAATAGGACAGTGTACTGTTCTTGCTTGTAATTGGACAGTGTAATAGGACAGATAAAGGGACAGTTAACATATCATGCCTGTGTGAGTGGACAGAATGTATCATGTGCATGCGCAACCATTCATACAAAAACAAGTTTAAAACCGCCTCCTGGTTAGCTCAATTGGTTAGAGCGCCAGATTGTGTTGTGCGGGAGGTCGAGGGTTCGAGCCCCGGCCGGACCAATACTCATGGTCTTAAAATAACTGAGGAGAATTTGCTACCTTTCTATAACATCAATGAAATGGTTAGATATTCTAGTCTTCTCGGATAAGGACGAATAAATGGAGGTCCCGTCTCCTGCAGGGTTAGGGGTAGGAGACGTTAATTTCCCACACACGAGATTACTGTGTGATGGATGTCCTCCCCTGGGGTGGGATGTGTGGGGGGAAAAGGTGAGGTCGTTACATGGACTAAAGCAGCTGCCAGAGGCGCCTGATAATGCTGACGTCCGATCTCAACCTTAGTAACACTGTAGACCTTAGCAATTCAGCCTATGCTGCTATTAAGGTATTGAATCATTCACTTTCACAAGTTTAATTTGCATGTGAACAAATCTAGTTTGACATGAATAAAAGAGCATTAATACTGTTATTGGAAGTGAGGATAGAGGTAATTATTAATAATTAATATAGGGGCTTAATTGATGACATCCAGACTGACAGAATGGTTGTGCAATTTTTATTGATATATGCATAAAAACACTGCACTCTTCAGGAGATGGTGGAAACACCAGCAAAGAGAGGGAGGCGTGGAAAGGAGCCTTCTGTGAACCGAAGCCCATCCTTACAGAGGGGAAGGTCTTCTACTGAAAATAGTCCAAGGATAATTTTCACAGGCCTTTATGATAAACAGGGTGAAAAAGTAAGTTGATTCTTGATGTTTTGAATGAGGCACTGTGGATTTTAGGGTAGTTTGATTTGTTTTCTTGATCAAGGAAATAGGCAATTGATATATTTCAGTGAACTAGTATCCCTTCAGAAAATTGATGTCACTTCTAAAGAGTATAAAAGTTTGTCAAACTTATTATTAATTAAAAGACTATAACTTTTTGTAGGTTGTGATAAGCTTAGGAGGTCAGCTGGTGGATAACATTCACAACTGCACTCATCTGGTTACTGATAAGGTTAGTGCTAGTGGTACTTTGATGAAGACAGAAGTGGAAGTCACTGGATGTGTAGATTGCAAGCTGTCTCTTGTTTTTCTCTTATGAAACAAGTGCTTTGGGAGGGATGAGGTTGATCATTTCTACTTGAATGGCACAAATACTGCTTAAAGTGCAGAAAAAAGAAAAAAAAGGCATATTTTATTTTGGTTATAGACAAAAGCTTTGCTTACTCAGACTCCAGATGCCATTGTTTATGGACTTATCCTTAACACTTTTATCCAAAATGAAATCATTTTAACTGATAACAGTCATTTCCTTGAGTAGGTTTGGTCTCCAGGAATGGAATCATAGACTGAAATGATGGGCTGTTCAACAGTTTAAAACTTACACATTGTTTCATTTAATACTGTTAATAATTGTTAGGGTTATTTTGAAGTGGTGAGTTTCTTTGCCACAAAGTTTTTGTGGACAAGTGTTACTTTTTGTCAGCAATTCCTGTATTATTATTCTTAATACTGTTATTGATAGGTACGGCGCACGGTCAAGTTCTTATGTGGTCTTGCCGGTGGGCAGATCATTGTTCTTCCTTCATGGCTAGAAGCTTGTAAAAAGGCAAAGAGTTTTGTAGGTAGGAATCCAAGAGAACTAAATTCAATCAAAGTTCCTGATTTATCTTCAGTTCTGTACCCAACAATGAGACAGAGGGTTTTAATTTGTTATAGTAAAAGTAATAGTAATTTTAGTAATCAAAGTTTAATGTCTTTATGTGGAGCATGGTTACCCATATTGCCTGAGCCAGAGGCTCATGTATGAAATGCAAGACAACAACCCACCCATCCCACTCCAGGGGAGGACATCCATCACACAGTAATCTCGTGCGTTGGAAATTAAGGTTTCCTATCTCTAACCCTGCAGGAGATGGGACCTCCATTTGTTCGTCCCTATCCGAGAAGACTAGAATATCTAACCATTTCTTGATGTTATAGAAAGGCAGCATATTCTTCTCAATTATTTTAAGATCTTGAGTGTTGGTCTGGCCGGGGCTCAAACCCTCAACCTCCCGCACATCAGTCCAGCGCTCTATCCATTGTTGATTGGTGTGTATTATATTTCATAATGATTATAATTATTATGAATTTATCATAACCCTTGCTTAATGCTCTCATGACACTAAAGAACTGACTGATTTGACTGCTTTTTTTATTTTTTTATTTGTTACTCATATTTTTTAGACACATCACCATTCTTAGTTAAGGATAAAGATGCAGAGAAGCAATATAATTTTGATCTTCAAAGGTGAGCTTCCTAATTTGAGAGGTGTTTTATTTATGAGGAAAACTGATATTGACATCACTGAAAACTTATATATAGACATCAATGTTTTCTTTCAGATCTCATGAAGTTGCACTCACTAAGGGTCTTTTAGAGGGTTACAAGGTGCATGTAACAAAGAAAGTTAAACCAGAACCATCACAGATGAAAGGTATGCACTGCAATCACAATATGTGGGGAGTTATGGTATTTAAAACAAGTAAAGTTGTAACGGCAGGCGAACATCAAGGCCGAATGTATTGTAGAGAAAATCGCGACCGGAGAAAAATACCAGAACAGGTGGAACTTTACAGAGACACATCACACTTATTAATTGATCTCGTAAACTGAAATAAACAATAAAGGACTAGCATAAGGTGGTTGCACAAACAAACGTTACAAGGCACTAGCGATTGACAAATGAAAACCCTCAGAGGCAACAAAATAGAACTAAACAGGCTAAATGCAAACAACCAGAAATGAGCGAAACTATAGAACTAATATAAAGAAATCGACTCAGATATCCACGCGGCCACGAGGTCACGGTATGTAAAATCACAATGATCACACATAAAATGAATAATATATTAATTGAACTGTGAACTGGGCTAACCACAAGCAATAAGGATAAATTACGATGAAACGAACTTACATATCTGTCCCGCAACACCGTAGGCCTTTATAATCCCTTTTTGTGGACCACAGCAAAAAATGTCTACTCCACACACATGCTCCGCACATAGTAAATCAATCACATCCAAAAATAGCTAAAGAACCTAACTGTAACGTAAAGCACTGTCACGCAAGTGACGCGTGTAACTGCAACTTAAAGAGCCGTCACGCAAATGATGCGCATTAACAAAAGTGTTTTTCTTACAAAAGTTTTATGGGTGAACTGATCTTGTTTGTGGTTAAAGTATGTTATAGCCATAAAATTATTTCATTTTCCGTCACGTTAGTTACTCATTGACAGTGATAACCGCTTAAAGTAACTTTAGTCTTCTTGCAGATTCTTATTGATTTGTATTTCTCTTAATGTTACTGTCGCATTAATGAGCAAGTTACTTAAGGTTACCATGCGCCTTCAGGGGTGTCTCGTGTGCAAGTGATGTAGCGCATCCAGTTTAAACTGTAGATATCTAAACCCCTATACCAAGTTAAAGCTTATAAGACTGGCTATATATCAGACTATACCAAAAATTTTTAAAAAAAATTAATTGACAAATTTTTCACGACTTTAAAATTCGAGCACCCAAATCGCCTTTTAACGTTACATGTCAAAGCGAATTTTGTTTTTCGCTTATTTAATGTGTTCCTCCGTTTCCGGGGCCAAAGCGCTAAAAAAACGTGTCTGTGATTTGCCATATTCAATTTCAGGGAAAAGTTACGGAACATTTTTGAAATAGGATTAAAAAAATATAGAGTGATCATACAAAAATCGCTCTTGAAAAAAAGTATTTAGAAATAAAAAATTTGGGGACATGATTTTGTTGTTTATATGTAAAACTGGCTACTGTCAATATTTGAGAGCAATCGAACAAATTCCCTTTGAATTGTAGTGTTCAAAAGGTGATTTGGGCGTTTGCATTTAGAAGTCATGAAAAATTGACAATTCATTTTTTTCAAAATTTTTGGTATAGTCTGATAGCCAGTCCAATAAGCTTTAATTTGATATGGGAGTCTAGATATCTACAGTTTAAACTGGACGTGCTACATCATTACTGTCGCATTAATGAGCATGCAAGACACCCCTGAAGGTGCATGGTAACCTTAATATTTAGTGCGATTACCCTCTATTCTAATTGAATTATAATCAGTTCAATTAGGTTGACTTTAAATGGCCAAAACAAATAAAAGGTGAATGCAATAACCATTTGCTGCAATTTAGTAAGTATTGATGGGTGAAAGTTGGTTTAGGTAATGAACTTTAGTTAATTTTTATATTTCAGACATAATTCAGAGTGCCAAAGGAGAGGTATGTATCACACTTCCATTATATAGCATTCTTAGAAGAAATATCTCTCAATATTCTCCTTCAAAACTATTTCAGGTTGGTAATGGTTAGTTCTTTTTTCATGTTAAGTTCTTGACCAGTATGCCAAGAAGTAAAGAGGACAGAGTTTTTGTGATCTCTTGTAACGATGACAGAAGTGTTTGTAGAAAACCAATGGAAGCTGGCATCCCTGTGGTCAGTGCTGAAGTTCTTCTCACTGGAGTATTGCAACAAGAGCTTAATCTTGAAGAGTATCCTTTTCTTTGGAAATGTTGGGGCAATTTTATGAATATTAAAAAATTTGACTTAGGATTGGATTAATTTTGCTTTGCTAACCTGGTGATTGGTCAGTGACTGTAGTTGTTCTATTAAGCCCCTAGAGACTCTCCAATTCCCCTGGGTTACAGAGTGGAGGTGGGGGGGGGGGTTTGGTCGTAAGGGAGCTTATGGACTGGGGGTCATTAGAATTTGATTATTTCTGCAATCAGGATAACTGGATTTCTTTATAAGAACAAGATTATTGCATCCTTAACTTTCACTTCAGATACAAATTATTTGCTGAGGAAATGTCTGATACAACTCAGGAGACAAGCAGTTTAAGTGGACAAAACAAAAGAAGGAATGAAACATCAGAAGGAGGTGGTGCAACATCATCATCCTCAACACCAGGGGCAAAGAACTCAGGGTCCAAAAGAAGAAAGAGATGACCTATTCTTTGCTTTTAAAGGTCATGTTTACCACATTTAAGATGCTCAGAAATGTACCAGGATCTTAGAAATCAGTTAATGGTTTGGTTTTGTGGAGGAGGGTTGGAGCCAGTGGAATGACAGCTCTGATGGGTGCAAGAAAAACTCTCCATTACCTTGGAAACTCTGAGATTCAAAGCACAATAAGCCTTTGCACTAAAAAAAAAAAATAGGAGAAAAGAAAGAGACCTTTTCACATGGAGAACTATAATTATAGTCTAGCTAATAATCTAAAAGTCTAATACAACCTAAATATCATAGATCAAATACTTGACTTTTAGAACTGTCAAGGGTATGAATGCTGTGGAATCTTCCTGCAAAGAACACACTCACAACTAGGTGAAATGTCCCCTGTATAGAAGTTCCTTGAATGATCGTATCTGATTCAAAGATTAAAGGAACATCTCTTCACTTGAGACTGATATTTGTTTGCCCTGGAATGGAGGTTTCCCAAAAGAGAGTTTACTCTGCATATTTTTTTCTCTAGCTGTGTGCTTAACAGATTTCTTTCTCTCTTTGTACTTCTGTAAAGTTTTTCTGTAGAGGATCCGATGCATTGAGCTCTGTTGCTGACATTTTTACCCACCAAGGAGAGTGTGTTTATATTTGATCATATTTGAGTTCCCAGTTCTCAACTGAAAGTAGGAAATCAAGGTGCAACATACAACAGAGAGGACAAAGCTGTGCATAGATGATCTGATGATAAATGATCATGAGATTCTTAAAGCAATGAAAAAGATGGTCTTCATGAAGATACCTTTTAGATAGTTTATATAAACAGATATACATGTATGTTTGCTTTTAGAGTTGGTGTTCATGCTTTTTATATGCTAAAGTTTGACAAAAAAGTGGCAGCTATAATGGGCCCATTTAGTTGTGTAAAGCCTTGTGTTAGCCACTGTGAAAGGTTATGTTTTACCGTCTGCAGTAAAAAATAAATATTTTAATCACACCACAAAAAGTTTGCACCTGCAAGGATTTTTTTCTAGATGTAAATTTAATACATAATGCACCCTTAACCCTTTATTTCCCAAGATCTCTTTAAACTAGTAATTCTCCCTACTTTCCTCTGCATAATTCTGATGATGTTAGTTTGGAGAATTTAGTGTTGGATCAACTATTAATCCCCCAACTGATATTTTCCTTTATTCTCATCACTTCTTGATACTGTATTTATTTGATATTGTAAGGAGAAATTCTCTCCCAGTTACTCGTAAGAATTAAAGGGTTAAAATAACAACCATTTAATTTTGTACTTGAAAATAATTTTGTTTTTATAGAGAATAATTCTGTTCTGCTTGGCTTTGGCCAAAGATTAATCATATAAAAATAATAAATAGTTCTGCAATGATATCTCTGACTGGTAGTTAAAGTAATAATAATTCTCTAGGGGTGACAATGGTCCCAAGTTATACAAATCAGTGCTATCTGGTATGTGTTAAAATTCAATCATGATGCTCTTGGCATAGTGATGTAAAAATAAAAAAATGCATGAAAATGAATCAAATGTTGTGATGTAATTGTCAGTAATACGTATCACCTAAAAAAAAATTGGTGAGCTGTTTTTGCCCTTGAAGTAATGGAATCTTTTTTCAAAACGAGATACAAAAACCA